GAAAATAACATTTTCTTCTTGAAGAGTGACCTTCATAAACTTTGCAAAATAAAATTTCTCAAAACTTTCAGTCTTGGCTAAAAGTCAGTTTAACAAGAAAACAAAGACAAAAAACAAAAGACAAGAAAACCTTTAATTTCAATGCATGAAAGGGGAACAGTTGGTGGCATAAAGTTGTAATTTACAACATAGTGCCAAAAACGATGGCACTAAATTGCATCCTAATGTTCCCATTTTTGACATTTGTTGGCGTTGCGCAGAAAATATGCACTGCACTTTTTGAAAACGCCTAATATGGTAATTTGTAGCTGAAATTATAGGGTAGAATATATAAACTTATTAGATTCGTGAACTAATTACAACTGGTATAGCCAGATGAGACTTACTGGACATCACAAAACTGGGTAAAAACTGGAAACTGATACCATTATGTCACTGTCACTGAGATTCACTGATAAGCCTGTTGTACTAGTGAACCTACGCCTCTGCTATCGCACTACACTTGGGAATTTTTCCAAACTCATAACTTCATCCCAGAAGCCACTCGAGCATGCAAACGTTCAAAAAACGTGTGTGGCACATAGTTGTATGGGGTGCTCAAAGTTGTATGTGTTGACGGTATTTCAACTTTAGTCAACTCAGGTCGGCCATATTGTATTTCCTTCGAAAAATTTTGAAACTCTGACCTTAGATTCTGAACCAGCAGATCTTTTTTACATAAGAAAATATTGACTTGTTATTGTTCTTAAATACATTTTACGTTTCTTAATAAAATAAAAAAAAAAAACGATATTTTGATATACACGTGTCCCTAATGGATATTTGAGCAAAACTCAACGGCATTAGAAAGAGGAAGACGTACTATAAGATCCCACATTTAGCTTTTTGAGAGAAAAAATTCGCGGTGCTACATAACCTCAAATATGTCACCAAACAGTGTTTTTTACACTTTTAGGTTAGAATATCTCAAAAACCTGACATGATGGACAATTCGATTACTTCGGAAATAACTACTCATTGTCCAGGAGCACAAAATGTTCAAAATTTTGCAGGGAAGTGTTATTGGTTATTATAGTATAGATAGGTGACATGTATTAGCAGTATTAGCACTTTATTCATTTGTATGAGTTCTGGAAATATTTTTAAGGAGTTTATTATATCGTCGACATTGTTTACATTCTCGACATATTAAAAATTGTCGACCTCGACGCCATCAAAGTCGACGCATCAACAATATAGTTGTCGACATTACATTGTCGACGTCGCCCATCTCTAGTTATACGGGGTTTGTCCGGAAAGTAATGTCAGTGAATTTTTTTCCCGAGACTGTACGCGCCAGCCCGCGCTTTACGTGCTGGGATTGTGGTGGGGGGATCTGGCAACAAGATCCAACAAGCGTCAGTTGGCTACCGGTCGTTGTAGCGGTCGCATCACTCGTTCTTTGAGAGTCGTTACAGTGACCCGGTGCAAGAAAAATGCAACGTTCGCTTGAGCAACGGATAGCGATCAAGTTTTGTGTGAAACTGGAGAAGAGTGCTGCGGAAACCATTCCAATGTTGAAGAAGGCTTTCGGCGTCGATTGTCTTTAGGACAACATATGGTAATTCGTCTGAACGCCAAACTCCGATAATTCGAGTGTAGCAATGCTCGGTCGGGTTGCGTGTTGGATGGGTGACCATATCTGCTCTGTGAAAATTTGTCGGACAGTGGCATCTAGCGGGTGGTACCAGAAGTGGCAATCTGAGCCATCTGCTGAACCTCTGTCAGTGGGTTCGAGTCCCGCCTGGGTGTTACTGTGTGAGTGTATCGGGGGTTAAGTGGAAGAGCGCCGAGGGTTACCTCGCGAGGGCGAACTTCGCCCCCGTAAAAATCAAAGGCACAAAAAATAATGTTCCGGTGGCACAAGGCCTTCGCAGAAGGTCGGGAAGATGTCAACGACGAGAACCGCGCTGGACGGCCATCAACCTCCAGTTCCGACGACAATGTGAAACGTGTGCGTGACTTGTTGAACACTGACCGTCGTCTAAGTGCCCGTTTAATATCCGAAACATTAGACATTACGAAAACCATTGTTCACGAAATTGTGTCGGAGTCTTTAGGAGTGAGGAAGTTGTGCGCGAAGCTCGTGCCAAAAGTGCTAACGAACGATCAAAAAGCGAGGCGCGTCGAAACCTGCCAAGAACTTTTGAACACCTGCGAAGACAACCTCGCTTTCTTTGATGACGTCATTACCGGGGACGAAAGGTGGGTCTTTGAATACGATCCGGAGACGAAGAGGCAAAGTGCGGAATGGCACACGTCGAACTCCCTCGCCCCGAGAAGGCCAGTATGCCTAGGTCAAAGATTAAGACAATTCTGATTGTCTTTTTTTGATTGCCGGGGATTGGTCCATCATGAGTTCGTTCCGCAGGGGACAACCGTAACCGGAAAGTTTTACGTCGAGGTGCTGAAGCGGCTGAAACGCAGGGTGAATCGCGTCCGCCCAGACATCTCAAAATCCTGGAAGCTTCACCACGACAATGCGCCTTCGCACACCTGCTTCCTCGTGGCCGATTACCTCGTCAAGGCAGGCATCACCGTTGTTCCCCAGCCTCCCTACAGCCCCGATGTGGCCCCCCAGACTTTTTTCTGTTTCCGCGTCTCAAAACCCCAATGAAAGGACAGCATTTTGGGTCGGTGAAAAACATTCAGAAGGCTTGCACCGACGCTTTAAAGGCGATTCCGGAAAACGACTACCGTGCAGCTTTTGATGCGTGGAAGACCCGCTGGAACCGATGTGTGGACGCAGGAGGAATGTATTTTGAAAGTTTCTAAAGATTTGTACACATATAACCAATAAAAACCATTTTTCAAAGCTCACTGACATTACTTTCCGGACAAACCCTGTAATGTGGTTAAAATGTGGATCTCATGATTTATTACAAACATAAGAAAATTTGAAACACTGCCAGCCGCCACTGAAAAAATGTAATATTGCACATTTTTGAAATGGATTTCCTGTACAATTGCATCCGCAGTATTACCTCCGCGGCCAATAAGTCCCTGAAGCGTTAAAATGTGCCTCTGACTTCATTAATTTCGGATATAGCCGGACACTTTTATTGCCTTCTTTGATTTAGGTATCTCCGAGAGGAAGATATTACAGAAGTCGCACAAAATAAACGATATTACTTTTTTTCTATCAAAGCCTGCTCGCGGCCGAATTGTTAATCAATGAAAATTACATTTCCTAAAAAGCCTCGGATCGATTTTCGCATTTAGACAAGATATTGCGATAAGCATTTTCATTCATATTCATGATTCATTTTTAGTTCGTCGACTAATTAAGATTGACGCAATGATAAAAACACCATTTAGTGTGAAATATTATAACTTAAATCGCTCAACAATAGACTCAATTTTTCATCTAAGGGCAAGTTTCTTAAAATTGCACGATTGTATACAGTGGTGGATTTACAATAGGGGCAGTCGGGGCTAGTGCCCAGGGCGGCAAATTTTCTAGGGCGGCAAAATTTGGAAAGTGGAAAAACATTTTTTTTAGTGTTATCAAAAGTTCTCAATAGGAATTTTTTTATTCTTTTAATTAATCATTTATTATTTGAGGGATAATTCAAGAAATTCAACTCATACATTATTTGTCAAATCGAAATTTGGTAAATCATAATTTTGGCACCTTAAGTAAAAATTAATCTTCGAAATAATTTAAATAATTCATTTCCTTGAAGATTTGAAATGGTAATATTTGATTTTTTTCATTTTCTGGAATCAAAAAATTTAAATTTGGTTTTTTTTGGATAAATTAAAAACTTTTTTGAGTTATTTCTGCATTTAAAAAAAAAACTTTAATTGATTAATGAATTTCTTGAAAATTGAATAATTTGTTGATTATACTTATTAACTTAAATTTAACGAAAATCTTATACTTTTGAATCTAATCAACTGCCACCTGCAGTCTGTTTTACAAATATATCTAGGTTCTATCGGTAAAGTCATTTTTACATTTAACTAGTGATGTAAAATACAGTTACTTTTTAGTACTCAAAGTAATCGTTACTTTTATACCGCGTACTCGTTACTTTGTATTCGTTACTGAGTACAGTTACTTATGTATACGACGGCACAAATTACTTTTTAACGTTACTAGAAGTACAGTGTTACTTGTAACTTTGTTCGTCTGAGGAATATTTTCATTAAAAAAAATTGGACTTTATTAACAGTAGGTATCATTCTAAAATATAAGATAATATAAAATGTGTATGTCAATTAAAAACATAATATTTCATTTTTCTCCTGCAGAGTGCACTAAAAAAGGTAAATAAATAATTAAATTTGCAATTGCAATAATTTTGCAATAATTATTTGCAATATATTAAATATTTTAATTTTTTAAAAATAAGATATCAAATCTATATAACTGAGTGTAATTTCAGTGATGGGACGGCATTTTTTCCAGTGCCCAAGGGCGGCAGAAATTTAAATCCGGCCCTGATTGTATAGAAAATTCCCAAACTCGAAGAATACGAACTCATAATTTTTATATTTATATACAGTGCACCAAGAATAGCTTTGCCCGCGAACTGCGCACAACGAACGTAGACGAGGTAGAACCACCATACCTGAGAGATACGAAGTGTGGCTATTAAATTAACTGTGTCTGGTGATACTTTCCCCGCCTTGAGCTCGCTGGACAAACCAGTGGGTCGCTCAGTTTCACTGTAGCAGTCGTTTGAATTAGTCTGCGCACTAGTGACGCGTCGAAAAAATGTTACAGGTAAGTGTTCAGATGGAACAACGGATTAATCTCAAGTTTCTCGTTGAACTGGGGAAAACTTTTACAGAAGCGTATGCATTATGTTAAAAGAAATGTACGGGAATGAATTTTTAATCCGCGAAGATCGTCGTCTAGGCATACGAGGGTTTGCTTAGTACAACTGTGCAGAAGGAGAAAACACATAGAAAAGACGTAGGACACACAACCAAACCCGGTGACAGATGCCAATTACCACAGGCGGGATTCGAACCCGCGAGGATAATCGCTCCCGGAGTAATCGCCACCTTCTCACCTGGCGCTTTACCCACTGAGCTATCGCCGCGGCTCAATATGTACATATATAGGGTCCTATTTACAAACAGTGGAGTTTGTCATAAAACAGGGTATGTAAAGTAACTTTTGATCTACCAGATGATGTACTTATCAAAACAATTTTTAATGTAACTAATTCCGATTTTACGTATGATATTTTTAGGTTATTTTTTGTTCATAAGAACCCAATTAAAAAAAAGTGCAATTTCTATATACATCACTTTATCAGTAAACAAGTATACCAACAAAAAAATAGCAACCTGCTTCTGGACTCTGTTAATGACAAAAAGCAATGAGAAATACTGACGGAAAACTTGAACGTTTGTTATGGAATCATGCTTTAATCATGAAGTTCTATTACAGAAACGCTTCGGGTGTCTAACTAAATTTAGTTCGTTCTATGGAGAATACTGCACTGATTATATTTACTAAAATCTCATTTATTCTGGGAATTTCAGAGCAAGAAGGAAGCTGTAGTCGTCCTGTGATATAAACGGCACAACATTGTGTGTCTGGGAAAGAAAAAAATAAAATACTAAAAACGTATTCACCACAGAACTTATAACAATTGGAAGTTATTATGTACAAGTAATAAATTAAGAGGACATTCTCATCTAGCGATCCAGAAATGACACAATTTTCTCGATTTTTTTTTTCATGGAAGGAAGTAAATAAAGAACAACTTTTTTGGTACTTATTTAATAGGTCTTAAAGTATGTTTTAAAAAATGTTTTTGGTAAAAAATAATAAAATAGTAATTGTTTATTTATGCTGAAACATGGCCGCCTCAAAAAAAAGTATCCAAGTGGGCGCCACTGTGGCGCTTCTAAATTTTATCTGAAATCAGAAATTCTAAAATTTTTATGAAATATATTACATTTGTTGGATCTTGAAGCTATAAAATCAAAAAATGGCGCACATGCAAATTTTCGGTGGCGTTTTTAGAGTTTTTTTTCGCTCATCTTCAAAGTGCTATAAAAAATAATTTAAACCTAAAAAGATTTTTTAGGTTTAGGATCCAATAAATTTAATCTACTTTGAAATAAACAAAATAATAGTGACATGTTCAGTAGTTTTTGAGATATCGTGGGGCCCAGTGTGACAAACATGGTTTCGAGAAAAACGCGTTTAAAGTTTCGGTACACGAATTTTTTGATTAAATGGCATAAAGTCATAGCACATATTCCGACATCTGGTGGCATTCAAGGTAGTTATACTTACCATGATCACCCATGGTATGGTCGTAAAGGCGGGAAATTCAAAAATATTACGGAAAACACGCACTACCGTTGAATTCCACTTTTCCTAAAAGTTGTTCCACTTTTTTCACTATAACTTTTTTTAAAAAAATAACTTCGTACAAACCGTTTTGGGAATATATTCTGCGGATAATTAGCTATCAAAAAACGCAAAAAAATTATTTTTTTGTGATCGGTTTTGATGAGAACCTCCTCTTAATAGAGAAACGAAAAATTGTATTTTGTTCAAAATGTACAGTGTTACAGGAGAAGCATTAGAACTTTCGGCGTAAAAAAATCCCACTTTCAACCAATTAACACCGAACATTTTTTTGCACTCGATGTGCGTTTCACCAACCATGTTGGCATCGTCAGGAGATGATTAAAACTGATGGATGACTAAAACAGTTTTGATAATCTTCTGATGATTGCAACATGGTTGGCGAAACGCGAGTTGTACAAATAACATAACTGGTGAAAAGTATTCAAGTGTGAATTTAAATTAGCCTTTTTTTAAAGAATGTCGTTATCGGTCTAATTTAAATATTACTAATCCCTAACCGGCTGTAGCTATTTCTCCTACGAAAATATTCAAAACACACCGCGTGATTAATGACCGCCATATTGATTAATGCCGGGCTTTGAGCCCGCTAATCCCTTTTATCGCATTCAACACATATTTCCCGAAAGACTGTTGAAAGCTTTCATCATAACATAATAAAACGCGCTGCTAATAAATGACTGTCCCTGTATTTATTTTCAAAGAGCTGCCGAGTATTTTTCAACTTTTCGTACGAAAAAAAAAATTCTATTGGGGCGTAAGCAAGCGTGCACTAAAAATGCCAGCGAGTACATTATGTTAATGCTTTTCGCGTTAATGTCTCCAGAGTCTCGTTATGTCGGTATTTCTTCCGCTCTGATAAGTCGCAGTCTCTCCATGAACATGTCGGATTTTATACAAAATATGGAAATTTCTTTTAAACGAAACAGCGTACGAAAAGTCAAACACACCTACGTATTATCATATGCACATTAGAAAAATGCATCTTTGTATCAACAGTTTTGTACTGATAGCTTCCCATGATCTCAGCAAATTTAAGAATTGGTCGAACCAAATTTTCATGAGAATTCTCGAAAATGGGAGTGACTGAACGCACGCGTTGTCACAGACAGGTTTCGAGACATTACGTCACAGAAACTACTATCCTATAAAACATTAAGCTTAACATACTCACTCCTACTGACCTATTTACTATCTGCTAAGATCAAGGGACGCAGTTGGTATGAGAAGTAATGAGGTTATGCGTTGTCAAACATTTGTATAAGCACTAAATTCTACATTTTCTGGGGACAATCTTATTTTTTGTCAGATTAACATATTTGTATAAGGCCAGTAAAAATAATCTCTTAATAGGTACTGTTTTTTTCTTGAAGTTTAAAAATTTGAATTATTTCAGGTTCATTGCAGAAATTTCATTAAATGTGAAGTTTGTTATAATATAATGCCAAAGAAGATTTTTTGCCTATGAGTACCTACTTCAGTTTAGGACCATGGTATTGTTAAAGTATACTTATTAGGTTGGTTTTATTGATAAGAGTTCTACGGATAAGAGTAGGTCTATTAACAGAATAAGGAGGTGTGTAAATTAAATAATGAGACAGATTTTTTAAATTTTTTTGTTCGAGTAGAACTACAAGTCAGTATTGTCTCCTTCAAAATAACTTCCTTGGGAAGCCACACAGCGCTGAAGATGGTTCTTTCATTCCTCATAGCAGTGCTGGAGCTCATATACTGGAATAGCCTTCAGCTGGTCGGTTACACCCGTCTTCCCTTGAGGTGATTTTTCAATCTCGGGAAGAGAAAAAGTCACAAGGACTCAAGTCAGGCGAATGAGGAGTCTTGTTTACTGAAATGGCTGTGTGACAAGGCGCATTGTCATGATGCAACATCCAGTTGTTCTTGATGCTTAGTTTCACACGCATGACCCTTTTTCGAAGTTTTTCAAGAACCTCTCTGTAAAAGTGTTGATTTACTGTTTGGCCTGGAGGCACAAACTCTTTGTGGACAATTACCTGGCTATCAAAAAAGTAAATCAGCATGCATTTGCCATGAGCTTGAAGTGTGCCATTCCATGCTTTGGCGCTTGGTTCCCAGGTCGTACTCAAAGACCCAAGTCTCATCACCAGTAATCATGTAATGACACGTTACATGACATGGGGAATGGGGAATGGGGAATGAGAAATCCTGATGTCTTTTTGTTCTTGCGAAAGGTTTTTTGGAACCATTTTTGCACAGATTTTTCTCATCCCCAATTCGCCAGTCAAAATCTGATGAATAGTGGGGTGATTCAAATTTAACTCTTCCCCGATAGTTTTTGTCGTCAACCGACGATCTGAACGCACAAGATCTCGTATACATCTCTTCCTTCTGAGAATGCCTTAAACCACCGAAAAAACTGGATCTTGAAAAAGCACTGTCTCCGTAGGTATGCTGAAGTTTTGCAAAAGTATCCGTTGCGCTGTGTCCAAGTCTGAAGCAAAACCTGATAGCACATCGTTGCTCAAAATTAATGTCACTTATTTTTAAAACGCACTAGAAAAAACCGGTTTACGAAAACAGTCACAAAGTCTCATTACTTAATTTACACACCTTGTACTTCCAATTAAACAGACATTCAATCCAATTGGTCTGGTGAACGAGGCAGTATGCAGATACTGCTTGTAAAAAATGAGAGCCAAGTTCATGCGCTGGTAATGTAAATGCCTAACAGATCAGGTTTCAAATCGTCAGGAAAAACAGAATCAAAGGTTAACAGTTACAACAGAGCCCTAATGGAGTGGAGTCTGATAAAAAGGATCAAATTGGATGACGTGGTCTGAAAAAGTGATGAAATAGAATGTTCAGACAAAGTAGATGAGAGATTACAGTACTCCATAGAATCTGACCAGCTTCCGAATAGATAATATTAAACTTCATCAGGTTTGATTTGGTTCTAAATTTTAAAATTGTAGAGGATTAATTCAGCGCAAAACTACATACACTTAAATTGAACTGAACGTAATGAACTGGTTCAGAAATACTACAAAATGAAAATGCTGGTAAATGAGAATGAATTAATATATTTGGTTCTGTTTTTCATTGGGGTACTGCAAAATATGAATAGGTGATAGGAATTGTTGCTTCTACAACAGAAATATTTGTCGCATTTTGGCATCAGTCACCACGAATATCTTTGTTTAATAGCTTTACTAGCTTTATACTTTGTTTATTAGCTTTATACCACACATAGATATGACGCATAATTCGAATACCTTCATATATTGATTTTTTTTTCGATTGTCTAGGGAGAGTCACGAAGTTTTCCCGGCGTTGAGGAAACGTGTTCCTGACATTATTTTAAGCAAACAGGTTTACATGAATATGTGTCCAACTGGCTATAGTTAATGAGAATATTCATGATGGAGATCCTCCTCACCTTTCAAGGATAGTGATTTCTCACTTGAATAAGCATTACTATGGGTTTTGCATAGATCGATGAAGGCCATTTTGGTTTAAAACCAGGTCTTTAAATTTCATTCCTTTGAAGTGTAACTTGTGGTGTTAGATGAAAGACTTACTTCCAAGAGAAAGTGGAAACACGCAAGGCAGTCTGTTTACTATTATGTTTTTTCTGCAACGTTAAACATTATTTGGGCTAAAACCTCACATGTTGTCATGTATATATTAATATAAATGGCAGAGGCCTGTGAAACGAAATTTGTGGCCTCTTTGACC